GGCCTGGTCAAGCCTAACTAAGCATTAGCTACGCGCACCAGCCGCGTCGATGCATCCGTTGACTATGTTCCGTTCCAGGTACCTAGCACGTAGTAGATAGCCGGTATGTACCATAAGTCTCGGGGATAGGTCCTTTCATCTGGACTCGCTCTTTTTGCAATGCAAATTGTGCTTGGCAACGCAAGTGGCCGAAACTGAAGGGAAAAACATAATTCGATAGTGGAAGGCATTGAGTTTGAGATTCCATCAACCCCTTGGTCGGTTTTAGTCGATGCCTAAAGAAAGTTGCGACCCACTCACCAACCGAAAGAAAAAATCCGAACCGCAAAATGCTTTTCCCCACCCAAACTCTATGGCGAAAAAGATCAAAACAAACTCAATCAATTCAATTGCAACATACCAAAGCACCATAATACGCCCAAAACATTACGGATTTTTTCGCCAATAATAAAAGGCCAATGCAAAATGACTGCCCATTGATTTGCATATAAATTACAATTATTGCTTTTTTTTGGTGATATTAATTGACTTTGAAATGGGAGCTCCTTTTTTGCGGTTCAGATTTTTTTTTTCAGTGGGTGCCACTCAGCCGGCGGGGCAGGCAGTGCCAAGGTTCCAAGAAATGGCCAAGATTATGGAAAACTTGACAAATAGCCCCACCAAGTTTCGATCAACACCATATGCATGATCGTACATACTGCTGTTGGCGCCAAAAAAGTCTTTTTTCGTTGGTCATTCTCCATCAGCAGTCCAGCCACCACTATGTTGATTCTGCCTCCCAATATGGGGATCCTTGCCGTCACGCCGGCTGCAATGCAACAGACACCAATGCTCGTACTCTTATTGCCGCTACCGCTGGAATCCTGCCATGTGCTGACATGCTTCATGGATCGTGTCTCTCAAAATATCACCACATCATCGACCCGTGCGACTGTCGGCGGCGCGACATTCCTTGCATTGGCTTTCCGCGGGGAATACCGGACAAGGCTGGAGTCTTCCGCAGATCAAAAGCACTGACTGAACGGGCATTGGTCTCCCGCACTGGCATCCGATTGCGCCCTGGGCACAGAGCCCGGTGATATCAACCTCGGGGTTCCCGGGGTTTGGCCACCCTGGAGAATGCATCTATCCGCGGGGAAAGGCAGGCGGAACAACCACGAGTGGCCATCGGATGCTTATCTGCAGACGCGATTCAGAACACACAGGCTTGCCCTCCTCGCTCCCCTGTCCATGTCACACCTATTCAACGGTGCCACCTTCTTTTATTGGCGGGCTCTCTCCGCCATGCTTTTTACTGACATGGTACTACCACGCACGCCAGCGACCCGACGCGGACACGCTTTCCCTTGACAGCACCACCCGCTACGCACTCAACAGCTGGCTGTTTAGACATTGCACAAGGGAGGCGGCATACCCGGACCCTGTCTCACTTTGCACAGACGTCGGCGAACATCGCCGGAAAATCCTTGGCCTGCGGAAGAGACGGCGGCACACTTTTCGTGATTATCTATGCCAGAGACAGGCATTGGATTAACCCTCGTTCGGTGTTGGCGCATGCGGTGCTCCGACGGGAGCATGCTCGCCCAGGGAAGAGCCCAGCAGCCACTGCCGTGGAGAAGGGAAAGTTTGCCCACTATCGGTCGCGGCATTGGCCCATATTATACACATCCGTCGCTCCTTGCCCAGCCATTGGCCACCCGCTGTGCCGAGACGCCCCCTCTATTCATTGCCTGGCAGCGGAAAACTTTAACCCACAGACACCGTCCGCTTCTCCTCGGACGGATGTTGCAAGGGCTTTGGAACGCTGGGCGCCCAGAAGCGTGGAACGCCAAAGGAACACAACAGCTGTGGCTTGGACGGCGAACTCTGTTGAGCAGACTTTGGACGATGACGGGGCTTTTTTGCCCACTTTGGGGAATCGTTCGCAAGCTTTGGGGTTTGCCACCTCCTCGGTTCTCCCGACCCCAGACGGAGCCATAAGCCAGCCCAGGGCCCCACTCTGTTGGCCGATCTCCCGGCTAGTGGACCACACTGCCCTTGTTCCCTGTCCGGCTGTAAGACTCTAGCAGGGTGTGGCAAAAGGAACAAGATATGGTCAGCGTTGGCAGTTCCAATGCAGTCTAGCTGATATGTCCCGCTGGCTTGGCAAGTCCAGAGATGGCACAAACATCATCAGGCTGGCTGCCGTTGGCGCGGCATCAAATATGAGCCCGACGCCGCTTGCGTTTCACATACAAGGAACCGTAGGACCACTCCTCTCGTCCCTCCAACGACTCTGGTCCTGGGCCTCCCGTGATCTTCTGTCCCCTTTTGCTCTTTACAAGTCTTTGATCATTCTTTTTGGTTTGCTGTGTCCTCCGTCACTTGGCTTTATCCGGTTCTGTCCACCACTTTGTGCGTCGCCGTCGCCCAATCTGTAAATCTTGACGAAGACGAGGATAACAAGGAAAACACGGGTCAAAGTCTGATCAGGCGAGCGGCAAATTGCGTACAATTATCGACACTCGCTCGAGCATCTCGACGGTCGCGCCGACCACCAGCGAGGTCGCCAAGAGGTCTCAATCACCCACAGGTAGCACGCATGCTTTTGCGCCTAGTCGTCGCTTGATCTGTAACCGACTAGGTGTCTTGGGATCAATCAAGTCCTCGATCGATAAGAAGCCCCTTGCCCACCTACCTAGCTCCCGGCCATCCAAGCGTAACCGGCACTCAGCAAGAGACACGCGCCAAGATGTGCGTCACCTACCCATACTACAACCCGGCCAGGGACATACCGTCCCTCGCGGGAAAGGTCGTCCTCATCACCGGAGACACCTCAGGTACAGGGAAGGAGGCGGCAGCAGAGATTTCCCGGTACGGCCGGCCGGCACAAGTTTGGATCGCCGGACGACGGGCAGAGGAAGGCGGCCGCGCGATCGCCCACATCCGCAAGTGGTGCGGCGCCACACCGCCGAGGTCAGCCACGAGCGAGCCCGAGCCGGCGCAGCGCCTGGAGGACATGTACCCGACCTCGGGCGGCAGGCGGAGGGGCGGCACCGCCGCGAGCCAAGCCCGCTGGGAGAGCGACCACGGCAGCAACCAAAGCAGCGCCGGGACCCCGAGCAGCAGCGCGGCGAGCATCACGCCCGCCACCACCACCAGCAGCGCCAGCAGCCGGAGCCGCGGCAGCAGCATCGGCGGCGATGGCCAGGCGGCGGCGGGGTCGGCGTCGGCGTCGGCGTCGGCCGCCACCACGACAGTGCGGTTCCTGTACATGGACCTCGCGTCCCTTGAGTCGGTGCGCGACGCGGCGGCGCGCTTCCTCACCTCGGTCGACCGGCTCGACATCTTGATCCTCGGCGCGGGCGAGATCGCCATGCCGCCCGGCGTAACGGTCGAGGGCTACGAGCGCCACATGGGCGTCAACCACCTGGGCCACGCGCTGCTGCTTAAGCTGCTGATGCGGCTGCTGGTGCGCACCGCGACCTGCGACGCCGTCGGCTCCGACGTGCGCGTCGTCAGCGTAAGTTCCATGGCGCACCGCTTCGCCACCTCCAAGGGCATCGACTTCGACACGCTCAAGCCGGGCCAGCACGGGCCGCCGCCGCAGCAGCAGCAGCAGCAGCACCACCACCAGGACGCGTCGTCGTCGTCGTCGCCGACGCGGCCCTCGAGCGCCGCCTCCACGTTCCGCTCCCCCGGTCACTACTACCACCACGACGCGGGGGACCCGTACCCGTCGCCGTCCCCCTCGCGCTCGGCCGCCGACGACGAGGACGAGGACGACGTCCGTACCACCTCGGCGCTGCTGCTCTACGGCCAGAGCAAGCTGGCCAACATCCTGTACGCGCGCGAGCTGGCCGAGCGCTGCCCGCTCTTTACCACCGTGTCCATCAACCCGGGCATATCCAAGACCGAGGCCGACGGATGCACCGGCGGCGGCGGTGGCGGTGGCGCCGGGAGAAACGCCACGCAGCGCGCGCGGTCGGGCAGCCCGCTCATGGAGCGGGTCCGCCGCGTCATCCTGCCCTTCTTCGGCCTCGACATGTGCGAGGCCATCAAGAACCACCTCTGGGCCGCCACCGCCAAGGGCGTCGAGAGCGGCGAGTACTACGAGCCCGTCGGCGTGCCGTCCAGGGGAACTGCCTTTGCGCAAGACAGGGTCCTGGGCTGGCGGCTCTGGGAGTGGACCCAGAAGGAGCTCGAGGGCTACTCGCTGCCCGAGAACCTCGGTGCTGGGTGACTGGCCGGGCAGAGTTTATCGTTTTCTTGCCTTTTGATCTTGTGCCAGAGAAGCCTCGTGGAGGCCTTGCTGATTTATTTGGCCACCGCGCTCGAGTCATCGGAATCTGTCGATATATACACCCTTGCATGTTCGTCGTGTCTGCTTGTTGTTGTCATCAGTCATTAGGATATTTAAACAGGTGGGCAACGGGGAAAAAGATCGTGATAATGTAATTAACAACCAAGAGGACAATGTGCAAGGTAGATGTGGCTGTTTGGTGCAGCCATGGCACTTGAGCTGATAAAAAAAAACTTTATTCTTGGAAACGCCTGACTTTTCGACCGCCCCCAGCCTTCAATGGTTCGCCCAGAGAAAGTGGCAAACCTCGGAAGGGTATATAATACATATTGGAAAGCCCGCACGGCCGCCCCAAGAGGAGTTGGGGTGTATCAAGAGAAAGGAAAACATGTGGAAAGCTCGCAGCTGTCATGGCGAGAGACGTATAGACGCAAGGTTGGCGCAGGGGAGGCGCGGGGAAAGTGGCACGCCAAATCTCACTCCAAACCCGCGTGATGGCCTGCGAACGGGCCTCAGTACCCCTGCTTCACCGCGCTCGAAAGCATGACCCGAACCCGGCCGGTCTTGGCGGAGCGCGCAATCTTGACGTAGGGGTCCAGGTCCCTAGCGGTGAGGCTGGCGACGTCGCGGTCGTTGAGCTCGGCGGAGCACTCGAGGACCCACAGTGTGCTCCGACACGAGCTGCGACAGCACCTGCCAGAAGCTGCCCCGGGCCGAGTGGCTGGTGGTCAGGGCGGCGAGGCCGCAGGCCATGTTGGCGCCGGCGACGGCGGCCACGACGACGAGCCCGCGGGTGCGGTGCGGCGTCAGGACGAACTCGGACGAGGTCACGGTCGCGTTGGGGCGCACGTTGAACTGCGGCATGGCCTCGGTCACCATGGACCCCGCCAGCGCCGCCAGAACCGACTGCAGCGCGACGGCGGGGCGGCCCGTGGCGTTGAGCAGGTCCCGGAACAGCGCCTGGTACTCGACGTGCGGCTCAAAGTCGAGGCTGACCTCGTCCGCGCCGAGCGGGTCCATGAGCAGCGAGACGTTGCCGCCGCCGCCCGACCGCGGCGCCTTGTAGTTGCTGCTGACGAGCCGCGTCGTCAGGTACTGCACCTTGACGTCGGACATGTCGAAGGCGGCCTCCTGGAAGCACAGCGACGCGTCGACCCGGAGCCCGCCCGTCGTGAGCTGCGCGCCCACGAACCGCCCACCGACCGCGACCTCGAAGCTGGCCCACTCGTCGGCGCCACCACCGCCGCCGCCATCGCCAGCCGCGGCCGCCAGCGGGAACTGGCCGCTGACAACCGTCATGTTGGGCCCCCGCCACAGCTCGGCAGCGCCGTTGGTGCGGAGGAAGAGGAACATGCCGGCGTGCCGCGGCACGGCCTCGTCGGACAGCGTGAAGTTGCGGGCGCTGTCGGCGGCGCCGCGGCCGTCGGGCACGCAGATGCTGTTGCTGAAGCCCTCGCGCGCGCGCGCGTTCTGGTCCCGGAGCTGCGGCAGGGAGCAGTTGAAGGCCCGGGGGAAGCAGGACCCGCGCGGGCAGCCCGGCGGGAGCGGCAGCCCGGCCGCGGCGAAGGCGGCCGCGTAGTTGATGCCGCCCGTCACGTCGAGCCGCGGCGGCGTTGGAGGCCGTCAGGGAGGCGCCCGCCACTACCGATGGCCGCATGCATACGAAGCGCGAGTTGAACACGATGGCCGGGCTGTGGTACCGCCGGATGATTTGCTGCTGGCGCACGGGGAGGAAGCCGCGCCGCACCATGCCCGTGTCGCTCAGGCCCGTCTTTCCCGACGGGACGGCGTCGGCGGCCCCCGGGGACGAGATTTCGCCAAAGGGCACGTACGCCGTCGGCCGGTCGAGCCAGCCGTTGCTCTAGTGGCTTAGCCCAATAACGTCGGCCGTTATGAAGGCGGGCAGGGACGCGTTGCGGGCCTTGCCGACCAGGGCCGAGAACTCGAGGTCCGACACGAGGATCGTGGACGAGAACTGCACGGCCACCGTGGTGGCGAACAGCACAACCGCCAGGCCGGCCAGCAGCGCCGACCGGCGCGGCGAAGACGTTAGCAGCAGCCAGGCTAGGCGCAGGGGGCCGTCGTTGATGGCGCGCAGGACCGAGAACTGGGCGGCGGCGGACAGCAGGACGCCGTAGCGCTCGAGCGCGATGCCGGCAATCAGGCTCGTGTAGACGGTCGACTGCGCCGTGATGGCCGCCCGCGCCACCACCGTTGCCAGCGTCACGGCCTGCGTAGCCCGCCCGCCCAGCACGACCCAGCGCCACGCCGCCGGCGCCCGCTCGCTGCCCGACACGGCCTCGGTCGTCCACAGGAAGCCGAGGAAGCCGAGGATGGCGAGCGTGACGAAGGACCCGAGCGCGATGGTCGTGAACCCCCACACCCCCAGGCGGAACCACCGCCGGCGCTCGAGCCGGTTCCCTTCTTCCGGTACCGGTGTCGGTATCCCCCTCTCCTCCACTATTCTCTTGCCATCCCACGGCAGCGACCCCTCCTTGAATGACCAGGGCTCGTTGTTCGAAGAGCCGGTAGATATGGGCGACGACTCGTCTACGATGGTGATGGTGGAGGCGTACGAGACGTTTCGCGTGATGCCCGGGCGGGCGGCCGGTCTACTCTGTTGTCGAGACGAGGCTCGTGTTAGCAGCCATCCGTGCGTACCCAAGTCTCTGCATCGCATGATACGCACAGCTAGGGCCAGCGCGGCACGGCAGCAAAAAGGGGCAAACCAACCATGATGAGAACGGCGATGGCTATTCAGCCGCAAGTAATAACAGCCAGTCACCCACAACCAGTCGATATTCAGTCTTTGCTACCGTCGTCCACAGTTTAGCAAGCAAAAGAAGAAAATCCGGGAAGTAGCGCGGCCGTGGTGGGGGTTGGTGCCAGCACCGGGCCACCATTATCAAGGAAACCGACTGGTAGCCAGGGGCCCTTCGCTATCGCCCCCGCGCCATCATCCGTACTGCATGCCGGCCTGGCACACTGTAGGAATGGAACAAGCGTTGGCGCCATGGATGCATGGCACAAGCTTAAAAAGGCATTAGGCTTGGGCTGCTGCACAAACAAGTCAGCCCATCTTCCGTTCAATGCCGGCTGCTTTTCCAAGGGTCGGCAGCCAGTATCACATCGGTAGGGACACATGCCTCCACGGGAGATAGGCCCTGACTGTCAAACGGTTGGGTTGCTGCGGTCATCAGACGAACGTCCTCGGCCGTGCGAGCCGGCCGCCACAGCCCAAACTCCCAAAACACCATGGCAAACCCAAAAAGAAGATGCGAACAAGGTTGCTATTTCCCATGAAGCGTCTCCCACATGAGGCCCTAAATCCGAGGAAGCTGTTGCAGATCAGCTACAACTCTAAAAACCTTGCCGTCGTTCCGCGTGCCCAGACGCTGGAAGCGCTTGTGGTCTCCGAGGAGACAAATAGATTCTGCTCGCTGTTGCCGGTTAAGGTAACAAGCTTCCAATGATCCAATCAGAGGGGACATACCATCTTCCATCGGGTGAATATAGAAATATCCAGTCACCCCGCCTCGACCCGATAATGTTGTATCTCCATCATCTCTAACGATCCCGAACTACCCGTTTAAATCGGCGATGCTGTCTTCACCTCGGAAAGAAACGTGTCAGTCATAGTTTGCGTGACCATTTCCATACTTGGCGTTACGTTTTGATCATTGTTGAGATTAACCCTAGAATCCTATCGTGATCGAAGGCCAGCGTGCTAGTCAGCAAACCGATCCAACGAAGCTGATGCCAACTGTTAGGGAGCTGCCTCGCCTCCTTCAGCCGAATCCAGCACCTTCATGCATGACGCATTTTCTGCAGCGAACCTCTCGGGTGCGAACGCTCAGTATCTCGGCTCCTTTTGCCGTGGTCTGAACTCAAGCCACCTAATGGGATGAAACGCCGCCCCGCGAGCAGCGCGGAGAACCCCTCAGCAGCAAACACCGACGAGAAAGCAATCCCCTTTGCATAACAGGCCCCAACCTCACCTCACGCAGCGACGCTCCCGTGAGCGTTCTGGCCCTCATCGCCTGGCATGTCCGGCACGGGGGTGACTTTCTTGATGACCTTGGCAGGCGAGCCGACGGCGACGGAAAAGTCGGGGATTGATTTTGTGACGATACTGCCGGCACCGATGGTGCATCCCTTGCCGATGGTGACGCCCGGCAGGATGGTGGAGCCGCCGCCGATCCAGCAGTCATCGCCAATGACGACGGGAACGGCGTATTCGATGTAGTCGCGGCGGGACTGGACCTCAACCTCATGTGTAGCCGAATAGATAGACACGTTGGGTCCGAACATGACACGGTTACCAATGGTAACGCGGGCGCAGTCCAGAATCACGAGACTAGAAGGCGCTACGTGTTTAGGACAGGGCTCCAAGGCTGGGCGGGAAGAGGGCTGCGTGGTCAACAGAGTTGCCGGTTCTTACTTGAAGTTGGAGTAGAAGCTGTCGCCAATGGTGATGTTGCTGCCGTAGTCGATGCTGAAGGGAGGCTCCACGATAGGATCCTTGCCGATCCTGCCCATGATGTCTTTTAGGAGCTTATACCTGTCGGCCGAGAGGGACTCGGGCGTTGCGTCTTCGGGGAAGTGGTTGTTGAACTTGTGCATGAACTGCCGCGCCTTGAACCTTCCTTGGACCAGCTCTGGTACCATGGAGTCGTACCTGAGAAAAGACGTGGCCGTATCAGCCGCTGGCATGTTGGGTAATAGGTCGGTGTGGTCAAGCCTCACAGGACTCCCGAGATCATCTTCTCGTAGTCATCGCACCAGGGGACATTGTTTAGCCCTTTGGCGATTGCTATCTCGCCTTGGTCCTTTTCGGTCTTCGCCATTTTGGGGCTGAGGATGAGGGTATTCGCAGGTGGGGTCGGCTGAGAAGGGGGGTCGCAAGCGTGGCCTGATCGGTTGTGACTGAACAGGAGAATGAACAAGGGCTGTTTCTGAGGCGTACGGGCACCTCTTATAAGACTTTAAGGACGTAATACAAAAGTAAAAAGCGAAAAAAGGAGGATCTCGTGAGCAGAACAAACAACGGAGGATGTCGTCCGCGGAGCCGATGGCGGAGTTTCCAAATGCGCAAGAGAATGGCGGGGTGAGGAGGGGCATCCGACGATTACCCGGCCGGTGTTCACCCGTCTAGAAGGGGCTATTGGCCAGCCATTAGTCGCCGCTTCCATTTACCGTCCAGCACAGCCCAACGGAAGGAACTGAAGGGTCAGCCAACCCCGGGCCCGGGTGCCAAGACGGAGCCACCCAGGGATGCGGTCGGCGAACCCCGGAGTCGAACCATCCCTCCGGATCATGTGCCATGGTGCTGTGGTGCTGTGGTGCCCTTGGACCGTACCCCCATTTCGTGGCAAAGCCCCCTCTCCCACGATTACCAAGCTAATGACGTAGGATATCGGGTCGTCACGACTCTGCAACCAACGAAAGAATCTGGGCTTGGGTGCTTGAGGATCCCGGCCCGAGCGCTATCGACGCGTCAGGACCTATGCACTTCTAAGGCAGGTCAAGGCCAAGCGGTCTTGGGAATAGATAAGCAACTCCACAGAGAACAAGTCTTGGCAATCCGAACCCGGCGACCGAGTTGAGCTTGGCGGGTGCGATTCCAGCCCATTACGTCGTCGCTCCGTTTGGGGCGCGCCTCGGCGGTCTTGGGATGCTGGGATCGTCGTCTTGGAACCCCACCAACACAGTGCTGGCGAAAACAAGCCGTGGATTTCTTCTGCTAACAGAGGCTTCCATCTTGGCTTCGCTCATGTGGTCATTGATGATATAGTGGTGTGCCCATTCGCCGTTCTTGTTATTCTACGCAAAAAGAATGCGCCTATGCTATTGGGAAGATAGGAATTTGGTGGGTTTGGTAAAGGCATTTGTAGGTACCTACCAGTACTAATGCGAGCGGTGAACCGGCAGCCTGGGTGGGGCACCCGCCTTTTTGGGGCTGGAAATTCGCACGGCCAACCGCACCTTCCCATGCACCCATACCTACGATAAAATCCCCTAGATTTTTCAACCAAATCTCTGCATCCCTATCCGACCACCTTTATTTCCTCTACCCAAGACATCTAGGTACCTAATTGACAATCCCTCCTTCGCAATTCATCATTGTATCTCAATCATCGGCTTGTCGCGCCGTGAAGAATCTGCCACCAGCTCCCAGACCTGCCGCTGAACCAAGTCGCCGGGATGAGCAAGAAAAAGCCCAATGACGACGAGCCCCCTCGGGTCTCGGGCCAGTCCAATGAGCCGCTCTCGCGTCCGATCCACGCCCTGTCGGTTGGCCAGTTTCTGGACGAGATCCGGGCCGACGCCGACAACGGCCTGACGTCTGACGAAGCGCGCCTCCGCCTGCAGCAGCACGGCAACAATGACTTTGGCGACAGCGAGGGCGTCCAGCCCGTCAAGATATTCGTGGCGCAGTTCACAAACGCCCTGTCTCTAGTAGTTTCCCCGGCACCCGCTCCCCTTTGCCCTGTCCCGCCCATCGCTGCCCGTGCGGGTCGAACCCCTTTTAAGCCTGTTGGAATTGCTCATTCGTCGTTGCTAGGTCCTGATCCTATCCATGGCCGCTAGTTTCGGCATCGAATCATGGATAGAGGGCGGCGTCATTACCGCCGTCATTGCGCTCAACGTTATCGTCGGCTTCTGGCAGGAGCTTAAGGCCGCCAAGACGCTCGACTCGCTCCGCTCGCTTAGCTCCCCTACGGCCCGCGTTATCCGGGATGGTACCAACATTACCATCCCGACTGTTGAAATCGTTCCTGGCGATATGGTCGAGCTGAAAACCGGAGACACTGTCCCTGCAGACACCAGGTTGGTTCTTTTCCGAGGGCTCTGTGCCGAGGCAGCCACCTTCTCGGCTTGATAGGGCGTGGCGTGTACTGACAAGCTTTGTTAGACTGGTCGAGGCCATCAATTTCGAAACGGATGAAGCTCTTCTAACCGGAGAATCTCTACCGGTCCGCAAGGAAGTCGAACTGGTTCTCGACGACGATACCGGCCCCGGAGACCGCCTCAACGTTGCCTTCAGCTCCTCCACTGTCACCAAAGGTCGGGCTCGCGGTATTGTCTTCGCGACCGGCCTGGCTACTGAAATCGGTATCATCGCATCTGCCCTCCGCGGAAAAGAGTCCAAACGTCGCCAAGTAAAGCGTAAGGAGGATGGCAGCGCTTCGCCCTTAAGACACGCTCAGGCGTGGTCCCTGACCTTTACCGATTCCATCGGCCGGTTTCTCGGCGTCAACGTCGGGACACCTTTGCAGCGAAAGCTGTCCCAGCTTGCCGTGTTCCTATTCTTCGTCGCTATTGTCTGCACCATCATCGTGTTGGCTGCAAACAGGTTCCTTAGCAACAAGGAGGTTATCATTTACGCCGTGGCCACCGGCGTCAGTATGCTTCCGGCATCTCTTATCGTTGTTCTGACGGTCACGATGGCAACCGGAACGAAGCGCATGGTCAAGAGGCATGTGATTGTTCGCAATCTTCGGAGCCTAGAAGCCCTAGGAGGCGTCACAAGTGCGTCTACCAGAACCCCACGATCCGCCGTGGTGAAAAAGCCTGACTGACTGTCCGTGTTTCTAGACATTTGCTCCGACAAGACCGGCACTTTGACCCAAGGCAAGATGGTGGCCAAAAAGGCTTGGATCCCGGGCAGAGGCACGTACTCTGTGAGCACAACCAAGGAACCGTTCAACCCGACCGTGGGCAGCGTTAGCTTGTTGCCCAAGGAGCCCGGCCAGATCGATGGTCGTAGCCAAGAGTCCGAAGGCGACGCTGTAGACACCATGGCAGCAACTGCAGGCGACGAGATGCTGCGCACTTACCTGAACATCGCCTCTCTTGCCAATATTGCGAACGTTCACAAGACCGGCAACGACTGGCACGCTCGAGGGGACCCCACCGAGATAGCCATCCAAGTCTTTGCTTCGAGGTTCAACTGGAACAGGCTGCGATTTACATCCGGAGACAGCCCCCGGTGGCGACAGGTGGCCGAGTTCCCCTTCGATTCCGACACGAAAAAGATGTCTGTCGTGTTCGAGGAAACGGCCAGTCGCGGCCTCCATGTGTTCACCAAAGGTGCCGTCGAGCGCGTGCTCTCAAGCTGCGCAACTATCGCTATAGGCGGGAACGGCAAGGAGGACCAGGACACCATTGTCCCGATCACGGACGAGCATGTCTCTGGAATCATCGCGAATATGGAATCGTTGGCCCGCATGGGTCTTCGGGTGTTGGCCCTTGCCAATCGCGTCGACGACATCCCAGAGATCAACGAGAAGGACACGCCAGAGAGAGCCGAGTACGAGGCGGACCTGACTTTCCGTGGCTTGATAGGGCTGTACGATCCTCCCCGCCCTGAATCGGCCGAAAGCGTCCGCATGTGCCACCAGGCCGGCATCTCGGTCCACATGCTCACTGGCGATCACCCGGAAACCGCCCGCGCCATCGCCATCGAGGTCGGCATCTTGCCCAAGCGCATGGCTGATATTGGCCGCGAGACGGCCCGCACCATGGTTATGGCCGCATCCGAGTTCGACAAGCTGGATGACGCCGAGGTCGATGCCATGCCGCAGCTGCCGCTGGTGGTGGCGCGCTGTGCGCCCAACACCAAGGTGCGCATGATCAACGCCCTTCACCGCCGCAACAGGTTCGCCGCCATGACGGGTGATGGTGTCAACGACAGCCCCTCGCTCAAGTGTGCCGATGTCGGCATCGCCATGGGCCAGGCGGGGTCCGACGTTGCCAAGGAAGCTGCCGATATCGTGCTCACCGATGACAACTTTGCGAGTATCCTCAATGCTGTGGAAGAAGGTAGAATTTCGTCCGCCCGGGCTGCTGCCAGCACAAATATATAGATAAGTGTACTGACCTCTATGCCCAATCCAGGCCGACGTATGTTTGACAACATCCAGAAGTTCATCCTGCACGTTCTTGCGGAGAATGTCGCCCAAGCCTGCACACGTAAGTGCAATCCTATCCACAAAGCCAGATGCGTCTGTTCATTGATGTATGTTTCGACAACCATACTAACCTGATGATCTCCTAGTCTTGGTTGGTCTGGTCTTCAAAGATTCGGCCGGGATTTCCGTTTTCCCGCTCGCCCCCGTCGAGGTCCTCTGGGTGATCATGGTAAGGACGACCTCTCCTGTGGACTTTATTTGGACACAGTCTTTCACTATATATGCAAGGATACTAACACCGCTCCCAGGTAACCTCGGGCTTGCCGGACATGGGCCTAGGCTTTGAACTGGCAGCCCCTGACATCCTTACACGTCCTCCGCATGATGTACGTATCCAGACACGGGAGATGAGGCTATCGTAGCAGCGCAGGGCTTGCTAATCACGAATCCCTATACAGGTCAAGACGGGCGTCTTTACATGGGAGCTCCTACTCGATATCGCAGTCTACGGACTCTGGATGTCAGCCTGCTGCCTTTCGTCATTCGTCGTTGTTGTCTACTGGTTCGGGGACGGCAGGCTCGGTGACGACTGCAACAACAAATTCTCGGAAGACTGCAAGCTCGTGTTCCGGGCTCGGGCGACCACCTTCGCGTGCCTCACTTGGTTCGCACTCTTCCTGGCCTGGGAGGTGGTGCACCCCCGGCGGTCCTTCTTCAACCTCCGGAACAGCGGCGGCTCCATCTGGACGCGCTGGATCCGGGACGCGTGGATGAACCGGTTCCTGTTCTGGGCCATCGTCGTCGGGTTCGTCACCATCTTCCCGACGCTCTACATCCCGGTGCTCAACCACGAGGTCTTCAAGCACGACGGCATCACGTGGGAGTGGGGCGTCGTCGTGGTCGAGCTGGTCCTCTTCTTCCTGGGCGCTGAGGGCTGGAAGTGGGCCAAGCGCATCTACTTCCGCCGGCAGCTGAAAAAGACGGACCCTCAGGCGGCCAAGGGCGACCTCGAGGCCCGGGTCTTTGGCGCGTACCTTGAGCAAGGGTCGGGAGACCATGTCGGGCGTGGACAGGTCGAGCGCAAGGAGGACGGCCCTGCTATCGCTGGCGAGAGCTCGCAGGAGAAAGCCCAATAACAACTACAGACACGCGAGAGCGTGGCCCAAAGTCAAGTCCAGGTGAGTGGGCGCCCTTGGCGTTGTTGTTGGTGGTGGTTTGGACGGGTGGTTTCGGGACAAGGGCAAGGTCCCTCTTGGCGATGGTGGGGCTGGAGCAGCAGCATGCATTTTCAACAAAGGCTTCGCTGGCTGCCCAGAACGGCCCTTGTCGAACTTTGGACGAGGGACGGTGGAGGATTCATTTCGTGGAATCGCCGCCTTTCGGTGGTGGTTTATGGGCTGCAGAGCTCTCTGCGGTCATTCCGGTCCTGGGCGAGCTATCAAACAGATGGCCGCGATATGGTCCCAGTAGATAGAAGGAGGGGATATGAGGGTATTTTGGTGCCAGACAATAGTAAACATATTTCCCCATTTGATGGTGCATGTCGGAAGCGATGAGGTCATAGCAACAGCGCTCCAGGGTCTGGACTCGAGTCAAGACCCCAGATTCCTGGCGGCAGGCCAGGTTTACCTGCGCTGCCAAAGCACAGGCGCGATTGGCTAGCGGTGACACACATGCGCCCCCAATTCCAGCTTTTTCGTTTGCAGGGACCACGCGTCGTCAGCCTGCACCACCACCCCGAGCCTGGGCGGACAACGCCCTGTGGTTGCTTGCAGCATGGGCGCTGCACGACTGCGCCTGCTAGTCTCATTTCCCGTTGGCCGCAGATGTGTTTTCGTCGTGCCGAATACCCGAGCCCTAGCACCCACGAAAGGGGCCAACGAAGAAAGTGGGCAGCTGCGTCCGGGGACGTCGTGTCTACCTAGATCAGTGTGTCTTGAGCGCTATCTACTAGTATCAACCTCCCGCCGGGTTTTGACGTCACATTGAGCACCCAGCGGGCATCTCTTAGCTGCCCGCCGCCCCCTTGGACGAAGACGGTGACTTGTCGCCAGCCTCCATGCCACTGAGATTCTCTCGGTGCTGCAGGATCTGAACCGCTCCCAGCCGTCACCCTTCCTTGGACCAAAGAAGCTAGGCCCCCAGTCCAGCTGAGGCGGTCTTGGCAGCAGCAGGCGCACTCAAAAGGCTTGCGCCAGAGCTGCAGCCGCAGTTCGGTTTGGCGCAAACTTCTCTTGGCATTTTCTCGCGTCTTGTTTGGTTCCCAAAGCCGAGCACCAAGTCAGCGCCAAGCTCCAACCTCTCCAACCCGATCAACGCATTCCCGAGCTTGCATTGCGCCGAATCAGCCATCTGGAGGTGAGTTTTACTGTGCGGGGACATGGGGGTATATCGCCGCGTCTGGAACCACTGGCCAATGCTAGACCGTCTCCATCCAGCCTCGGCAGCCACCATGGTGTCGACCGCAGCCGACGCTCCCGCCGGCGCGGACGGGCAACAGATGGACCAGCCTTCGAGTCCTCCTCCCCCCGCTGCCACGCCGAGCGACGAGTCCGCTGCCCAGCCAAGCGCCGAGAACAACAATTACACCCCGACGGCGCCTGTGTCATCACCCCCGCCGCAGAATGGCCACGTCGCCGACGCCCCGAGCGGCGTCAGCTCGCCGCCGCCGCCGCGCGAGCCGTCGAGCCCGCTGTCGCAGCTAAAGCACCGCTTCACCGAGAAGGCCGATAGCGTCAAGGAGAAGAAGCCCGCGGGCGGGTTCGACCGGACGCCACTGCCCGACTTCCCGGCGGGGCTGACGGTCAGGATCACGTTCCACGGCGCCACGAACCTGCCGCGCGGCGACTTCACCACGGCCTCGTCGGACCCCTTCGTGCACGCCACCCTGACGGCCGACGTGCCGCGGCGCCACAAGGAGGACCCGCCGCTGACGTTCCGGACGCGGACGCAGCGGCGCACGACGGAGCCCGAGTGGGAGCAGGCGTGGGTGGTGGCCAACGTGCCGCGCACGGGCTTCAAGCTCAAGTGCCGCATCTACGACGAGGACTATCCGGACAACGACGACCGGCTCGGAAACGTCACGTACGTCGCGCGCCGCCTCGACGAGGCCTGGGAGGGCGTCGCGCGCCGCAACTTCCAGGCCAAGAAGCGCGTCGGCAGCAAGCGCGCCTATTTGGTCAAGGCGCTCGAGTCGGCCTTCACCCGGAACGGGTCCCTCACGCCGCGCCTAACGCTAAGCGTCGAGGTCCTCGGCCGCTCCGACGGGCCCGGCGCCCAGATGTACACGGTCGGCCCGACCACTTTCGTGCAGCACTTTAGCCCCATGATCGGGCGCCTGACGGGCACAAAAGTCAACAAGGACGAGGTCAAGGATGGGCAGGCTGACGTGGGGGAGGCGTCCGGCGCCGGCAAGGAGGGGGATGCAGGCCAGGACGCGGAAAAGAACAAGGAGGCGGATGATGGACAAACCAAAAAATACGAGTAAGTCGCCCTGTCCTGCCTACTTGGGTGCCCAGGTAGTCAGTCACACCCAGAGGAACCCCCGACTGACCCCGATCACCCCCACTGCAGCTTCCAAGCGTGCGAGATGCAGCTCCAGGGCCCTGTGCCGCCGTGGCTGTACCACCGCTTCGTCGAGTTCAGTCGGTTCGTGGCGCCCATGTTCTCGTCGCGGGGCCTGCGCGGCAAGATCATGAACAAGGTGCTGCACAAGCAGCACCGCCGCGTCTACAACTTTGACCAGTCGACAAAGTACGGCGCCTTTGAGCCCTGCTCGACCGAGGCGGCCCTGCAGTTCCTGCGGCTGGCGCACTTTGACGAGGGGGGCCGCGTCTTCACCTACGTCCTCACGCTCGACGGGCTCTTCCGCTTCACCGAGACGGGCAAGGAGTTTGGCATCGACATGCTGTCCAAGCACACGATGCACTCGGACGTGACCACCTACATCGCCTGCTCGGGCGAGTTCTTCATCCGCCGCTCGGAGCGGCCGCCCCAAGACGCCCACGCCGACGCCGCCCCGAAACCGGACCCGGACACGGACTCCCAGGAACCCGCGACGCACCCGCCCTCCGACGTGCCAGACGGCCCGCCCGCCAGCCCGCCGCCGTCGGACCCGCGCCTGTACCAGCTCGTCATCGACAACGACTCGGGCACGTACCGGCCCGACAAGTCGTGCCTGCCCGGGCTCGAGGAGTTCTTATCCAAAAACTTCCCGGGCCTCGGCATCTCGGCCCTGCACTGGGAGGACGAGGATCTCAAGGCCATGAAGGCGGCCCAGCACGAGGCCAAGAAGAAGGAGGGCGGCGGCCGCGTGCGCATGGTGCTCAACCGCAGCCCCAGCTCGTCCTCCTTTAGCTCCTCGGACGAGTCCCGCCTCTCCGACATGGGCTACGATGACGGTGACGATGCCAATGCCGGCAGGCCCGCCCGCAAGACCAAGAAGGAGCTCGCCTGGGACCTGCTCGAGAACCCGGGCCGCATCCGCGAGATTGGCGGGCAGGCCCTCGGCGGCGGCGGCGGAAGCGGAAGCGCAAGTGGTCCCGCGGTAAAGCCGGCGGCCGCTCCGGACGTGCTTGTCGAGGGGGAGAAGAAGGCGGCGTCGGCGGCCCCCTAAACAGCACCCACCTGGAAAATTTCTAGAGGGGGGATCCTTCCCGGCTGCGAGGAGCTAGTGGCGGGGGATCGTCGCTGTGAGGATCTGCGCCCGTTCGAACCAATTGCCATACACACACACATACACACACACACACACACCATTTTCTTGTTAGTGGGTGTGACACTGACTAACAAACGTGCGCCTAGTTCTAGTCACGTTGTCACCCTTTTTCCACTCCTACCTAGGCGCTTTGCGGATTGGTCTGCTCGAGTGATTGGGCCGCTTTCCCCTTACTCCCGCCATCGTTAGTTACACCCCTTGGGCTTCGACCGTCTACCGCATTAAACAACCCTACGCCGTCTTTTCCGCATTCTCATGACATCTTCGCGCTACTGCCCGTTTTCATGACTTATGCTCTCCCACGTTGGCTTGCTCTTCATTGTCCCCGCTCCTCGGCCAACGGTCGCGCTAATGGCGACGCTGCTTGGCCATCAGCATGGTCTCCGCCTCACACCTTTGCAGACTCTTGGCCTTGTCATGAACCGGTTCTTTCCTAGCCTAATATTCGCTATAGTTGTCCTTGGGGACACTGCCTGTTACTCCCGTTTAATGGTATACCCTAATCGTCATGATTATTCCAATCCTTCATGATTTAAATGAAACGAGACAAAAACAATGGTGCCGACCCGATAGAAACCCAAAATCTGAAATGGAGCTAAAAAATACCCCTGTTGAACCAAAAGAATCCGCGCGCCAATCGCCAGTCAAAAATGCAGCAGATGCCCTCTTCTCATTCCTAGAGCACACCATGGGAGATATCTAGTGTGAGTCTCGAGGCAAACATTGTTCTGTCGACGCCTCGGACCTCAGCAAGAAACGGCAATCTCGCCCCGCCTCTCCATGGCCTCGAGCCTGTCGACGAGGCGGACAGCCCTCGAAACAACGTCGGCGTGATTGGAGTCTGGCATCAGGCGGGCGGCCTCGTCGAATCCGACCCAGCGGGGCTCGTAGTCCTCGTCGGCCATCTGCCCTCCTTCCTCGAAGGGCACGGCTGAGTCGGCCTCGGCGACAAACCAGTGCACGACGGCGAGGGCGCCGTTGGACCGAAAGTGCGTCAGCAGTGCAAAGGGCTCCGTCAGCAGCACGCCCTTGGTCACCTCGCCGACCTCGTCGCGGATCTCGTCGTCGTCGTCGTCCGGGTCGGCGGCCGCGATGGGATTTGAGCTGTAGTGGGACTGATGGTAGTCCTCGGTAGACGACAGCATCGGTTCCGGGGTGCCGCTGCCGCTACTAGCGACGAGCCTGGGTGAGGGGGAGAGCGACGAGGCCGGGCTGGTGCGGCCGGGCGGGGGCGTGGCGCGCGTCGGGACGGGGACGGGTAGCAGCGCGCAGCGCACGCCCCCCTCCTCGAGCGTCTCACGCACGGCAGTGGACGTCAGCGACTCTCCCCAGTCGGCGCGGCCACGCGGCAGGCCGTGAAGCCCCGTCAGCCTGTCGTGCAGGACCAAGGCCCTGCGGGTGCGGCGGTCGACGGTCACGGTGCCGGCTGCCAGGTAGAACTCGTGGGAGGGGAGGAGCGACTTGTGTGTCGCGTGCTTTGGGGTCGCCATCTCCTTCGCCGGGTTCTTGGTATCGTTATCGGTGCTGCTGCCGTTGCTGCTGCTGTTGTTGCTGACGCCAGGCTTCCTGAATGATAAAAAGAGGCCCGCGCCTTGTGGTGTTCCCTTGCCTGGGTCATATAAAGGATTCGACACCGCAAAAAATTGCAGAGCAAGGTTACAGTAGCGGAGCAAGCCCAGGAGCAAGCCGGTGAGCTCTGTAACAGGCATGGCGCGTGGGGATGTGGTATTTATCAGGGGATGGGCCAGGGGTTTGCTGACCCAGTTGTGGAGTTGAAGGCGTGGCGCAGGGTAGGCGAGTTCAGAAGCTTCTAGCGTTACACCAGGACTCTCATGTACCATGCAGCACAAGATCTGGGGGATGATCTGTCGGAAACCGCGGGCACAAGGGGATGAGTGGTGCCCATGGACTGACTGCAAGGCACTTGTGCTGGCTGACGACGCGCGAAGATCCGGAGGGACCGGAAGCACGTGAGGTGGGAAAGGGGATAAGATGGAGGAAGAAAAAGGAGGGTCGAAAAACAAGAGACCCAGGGAATGTCTCTGTTTGGTGCGAGTTTCTAGGCGCCCTCTTTGGGTGCGACTTTGGCTGGTGAGACTGGCGCTGACGGCGAACAGAGCTTGATGCGACTCTGACACATGGGGCGACGAAACAAGCCAACGACTACAACCGAGGCTCGGGTTCGGCCGGTCAGGTGGAATCCATGGGCCTTTCCTTTCGAGAAGCACTTGCGGAAGGGTGGGATGTGACGCAAGGAGGAAGACAACAGACGAAGCTGTTTGTCAAGAGAAAAAAGAGAAGAGGTGGGAAGAAAGTCAGGGGCTGCGTGCATCGATCAGCGGCGGGCTGTGGAGAGTTTATCGCCCGTCGACTGGGCGTGTCCCAGGCTCACGGAACCGACCAATGCCCAACTGGTAGTAGCTCGCGGGGCTCGTGGTGGAATTGGGTGCTTTTTTTCTTCACCCATGCCAAGTGGCCGGCCAGAATCCCTTGCTTCACCCTGGTCTGGGCGCAACGAGCTACGCTAATGTGTGATATGAAGGTTGTTGGTACACGAGTAGAGAGGAGACAGCGTGCCCCCACCGTCCCGGCGAGGGAGCGCTTCCGGAAACTTGGGTCCTTGGCCAAGACTATCTTTATCAGTGTCGACAAGGGCTGTCGGCAAGGGCTGTCGATAGGGTTTGGGTGTTTTCTCTTGAACTGGCAGGGGGAAGCAAACAAAGATGGTAACTGGAAAACCCAAGCCGACTCGATCGGCTCGATAACAACAAAGAAGGTGACTTGTCGCAAACACAGCGGCGGAATTTGGTTGTACGGTCAAGCAAGGCTTAGAAGGATCCATCCATGGCTGACAGGGCAGAGATTGGGGCACTGAGGGGGTGGGGTGGTGGCCTGTCGGCCTAGACCAGGGCCAGGGTTCCTCTTTGACGGAATCTGTGATTGCGATGGGCGTGCTAGGCGGGCTCGCAGGCTGCATGGGTCTTTGGGATAGCAAAAGCACCGGCATTAGCAACAGCCCGGCGGCACTGCGTCGTCCCATTTGGCGCCCCAAGCTTTCCCCGGCCTTCTGACCGGTCAGGCCTCCCCACGAATTTCGGAGAGAAAAAGAAAATTGATGTTTATTCAGCGCTGCCCTTCTCTCGCTTGGCCGGCTCGCTAAGTCAGCCCAAACCACCCCCCCCACTAATCAACAGAGCCCTGGCCGGCCACGTCGGTCGCGATTACCGCAAACGGCGATTCGTGCGGGCGTGGTGGGCAAACAAAGACACAGTGCCGTTATGTGTGGGCCGTGAGCAGCCCGCACTGCTCGCTTGTCCGGACGCGTGATTCTCGGGCACTGCAGCAACACCTGCAGTGCTGGGGGCGGGGGGTTTGTGGATGCGTCCATGCGGGCTGGGCAAAGTGAGCATGCTGTTAGTGCTGGCACCATTGAATTGCCCAAACGGACAATTGCGGGCTGGAACGTTTGCTTGTTTGGGCGAGGCACAGCGCTGCCGTTGGTACCAGAAGTCTGGTCGAGATGCATACATGTTATACGCTCCCCTCTTTTTTTTTTCTTTTTTTCTCGTCTTGTTGGCGGAGGATCACACCATCGACACGGATATGGACGGTTTGACAAACATGGCCGAGCAAAAGCGAAGAGCGTCGCCCCTCTCGGTGACAAAAGTGCAACCAGCTTGCACAAACCTCGCAGTTCCCAAGACTTGGTGCTACAAACTGTCGGGTATGTCATGGCCTCGCTTGACACCCACCACGACAGTCGCCAGGTGCACGAAACCGAGCCAGCCATTCGGCGCGCTCGGGCTAGCGCGGTCAGGCAACGCAGGCAGGCAGGTGACGGGACTTTTTCCTGACAAGGTCGGGGGGGATTCCTTATCATGCATGGAGAAACGGACGACTGAGAGCTGCAGGTTTTGATCTCGAGGCTCGGTCAGCAACAACTCGGATTTACGATAGGCTTCGTTCGCATTGATCCCCTCCTCTGCACACTCGAAACGCCCGAAAATCAGCAGGCTCGGGCGCACGCGACAGTGATGACGACGGGAGGGAGAGAGAGAGAGAGGGGGGGGAGAGAACGGGACCGGTAATCGGGTTGCAGAGATGCCCATTGCAAGGGAGCATTGGTGTTACCCTACCAGGTACAGGTACCCTACCAACCAACCAACCAACCAACCAATAAAGAATAAAGCCAGCCATGCCGAGTGGCAGTGCGGCACTGCCCAAGACATTCACATCCCACGATGTGCTAGGTAATTAAATGGAGGCAAAGAAGCAAGTTGGAGAGGAGCCAAGAGCATAATCACACGGCTTGGCTAGCCCCTTGCCCGGACCCGAGGGCAGGATCGGAGACTGAAGTCACTCCCCCACGCCCGATCAAGCGGATGGGACGTCGTGGTGCGCATCGGGGAAGCAAAGAGGCGTGGCCGTGCGCTGCTACGCGGCGTTGGCGCCCTTTCTCCCTTCAACGCCCAAGCACCCTTCCCCCGCTCTCTCATGTGTCGCAGGTTTCGATCAGTACTTGGCATGCACTGTCACTGGAGATGCCTGCATGCAGTTTACTCAAGGCGGGCAGGTGGCGATATGAACAAACACATGAACCTCACGGCAACCAGCAGGAGCAATCTGTCGGGGGTCGATAGACAGACTCACCGGTCAAGGCGGGTAATGTTCGGCGCGTGCCGATCCGGTTCACTTCGGGTCTCACCGGGCACATAAACGCACACATTCAAGGCCCTCTTTGACCACGCTTGCTATTATTTCCCACAGCATCTGCTGCCTGTGCTTTCGTGGAACCCTAATTACATCACATCCCCCTCTGGCTTGTTGACCGGTCTCGCGCCTCGTGTCGGCTCAGAAAAAAGAGAAGGGTGCACAGCATGAACACTAGCATGCAAAATTTTTTTTTTGCCCGGTCAAGCACCAAATTGCTCGCCGCCACTTACGGCCGCCTCATCCGGAAGGACAGGATGGCCGGCAGCTGCGTGTAGTTCTTGCTCGCCTCGATTCTGTTCGGGTCGTGGTCCTCCTCGGTAAAGGCAGGCTCCTCCATGGCGTCCATGACCAGGCCGGCGGCGAAGAATGGTCTGAAGACCTCGTGCAGCGGCCGATGGAAGCACGGCTTTTGACCGACGGGAGGGTCAAGTCAGCTCCCAGGCTTGTGGCATGAGACGTCTCCCATGTGATTCATGCGCGACACAAACTTGGCTATAGGGAACACAAAAAAAGGGAAAGAAATCTCACCTGCTTCACGGGCTGGCCCGGCAGCGCGATCCCCTTCATGGGTGGGACGAAAAGGTAATCACGAATGATCTTGGTGCGCACCACCTGGAGGTCGCCCGTCGCCCCGTCGAACTTGAGCTCCAGGTTCTTGGCGGCGTTGGACGTGAAGAAGACGGGGTGGAGGAGCGTGGCGACAAATCTTTATTCTTGCGTGTTAACCCTCGTTCCGCCAGTGAGCTCCTCCCATTCAGGTAACCACCAGTGGGACGACCTACATGCCTCCCTGGCGCAGAAGACCACCGAAGGCCAGGGCTTCAGCCAGGGGCTCAAGGGTCGGCACATCCATAATAGCCATGTTCATGGTGACGAGGTCGTAAGGGCCGTGCGTGCCCTCGAAAACGAGCGCCCTGGCATCGCAGACGTCGAGAGACCTGAAGGGGAGCGGCGGCGGTGGCGGCCGGTCGGGGCCCTCCTCCCAGGCGTCCTTCTGGGCCCTCCACCGGGAGAGCGCCCGCTCCAGCATGGCGGTGCACCCGTCCGTGGCGGTTATTTGCTCGGCGCGCGCGCCGTGGCCCGGGTCCGCAAGCCAGCGCGCCACGATGCCGTTGCCGCCGCACAGGTCGAGGGCCTTGAAGCCCGGCCGCACGCCGCCGGCGCCGAAGACGAGGCGGCGCAGCGACGGCTCCTGCAGCCGCTTCCAGTAGATGTTGCCGTCCCGCCCGACCGTATCGTCCCAGTAGGCCGCGTTCAGGGCCCATGCGGCCAGAGACTCGGCTCTGAGCTCTTCGGTCGAGGACGTGATGCGTTTCTCTCTGTTGGATTCGGGGGATCTTCCAGCGTCCTGTGCATATTTTCCGTCCTCCACGATTCTGCCAGAGGCCGAGCCGTCGGCCTCCGACAGGGCTCGATCGGAGGGCTCCGGAAACCGCGTTCGGAATCGACTCGACATCTCAAGCCAGTCTTGTTTTGTCTCGTCGTCTTGGCTTTGATACCAGACCAGGGCTGCGCCCTTGAGACCACGCCGGAAGCGAATCAGTTGATACATCCACCGGGTCCTGATCCACCCTTCGGTGCCTGGCGGCCCTTCGGCTTGATCTTGCAGCTTTCTCATCTCTGCGTCGGCATCGAGCTCGAGTTGATCGACATAGTCCATGGCGCTCTCGAAGGCTCCTCCCTCGAACGTCATGCCAGCGTATTCTTCAGACATTGTGTCGGCCTCGAACGGCGTGTCGGCGTGTTCTCCAGACGTTGTGTCGGCCTCGACGTGGTCGGTGGAATGGAGGCTATCTTACGCAGCAATCAAAGGCGCCTCAACATGAGGCTGCCAATTTACGCCTGATACACGTGACTCCAGGCAGCAACGCATAATGCATAATACATAATGCATATATGCACAGTTGATTGGCACACCTTATTTGAGACTTTACTCAAAGGGTGTGGCCACCATCACAACATTGAAGCCAAACTCAACGCTGTTTTATGGCTTGAGGTTCATTATCACTTGCTACTTTTCTGAGATGGCATGTCGAATTTCCATTACCTAGCCCTCCCGCCAACAACGAAGCTGAATTTCAGGAACAACGGCTCACACATCCGCCTCCTTTGATACTTGTCGCTTTCTCTCCACTCCCAGCTCCGTCCCTGAAGCCGGCTCGGCCCCATCAACCTCTCCCTTGACGTCCTTCTCAGCCACCTTGTCCTCCAGCACCTCCCCATCAACCCCCGTCTCGTGACCGACGGCGGCCCCGTCCCCGTCCCCGCTTCTGCCGTCGCTGCTGTCCCCTCCTCCGCCGCCTTCGAGGCGCGCCTGGCTCCCGGCCGCGTCCGGGTCAAAGGTGACGCTGGGCGCGTAGGCGTGGTCGCCGTCGCCCTGGCGCTTGGCCGGGATCAGGACGTTGAACCAGCGCGGCACGACGAGGCCCAGGCCGCAGAGCACGAGCACGACGTGGCCCGTGAAGAAGCCAAAGATGTGCAGTGGGTCCACCTGCTTGTTGTGGAAGGTTGGATAGCTGAAGCCGAAGACGATGGCCAGGATGGGGCCCGAGACGTAGCGCAGCATGGGCGCCCAGAACAAGGGCAGCGCCAGGTTCTTGCCCCTGGCCACGATGACGTTGAGGTCCTTTGTGAGTTGGTGGCCCTGTTTTTGGGTGGAAGGTTAGTGAACTCTGTTGGTGGTTTGTTGGTCCCCAAGGAGGAGGCAATGTGGCTCCGTTGTTCTCCAACAGACTGGCGGGTGCTAACCGAGTAAAAGGCAACATAATAGAACCGTTGCAGGTACACATTACGGCCGAAAAAGCCAGACACAGGCGCGTCGGGCGTCCTCCCAAACACGAGCGCGGCGGCCGTGAGCGCGATATAAATTCCAAAGCCCACGCCGGCGCCGATCTCGCCGCTGGTGGCGATGCCGGCCGCGACGCCGACCACCATGGCGCCAAAGTAGCCGGCCAGGTAGGCGAGCAGGGCCAGCGGGCCGACCTGACCCGCGACGTCGCGCCAGCGGTATAGCGACGTGGAGCTGACGCACTCGGCAAAGACGACGAAGACGAGGGCCACGTCCGAGACCCAGCGGTCGACGCCGTCGAGCAGGTAATAGCCGAACTCGGTGCAGTAGGGCAGCGAGAGCAGGAACGACAGGATGGTCAGGCTCGTCACGACGGCCGGGCGGGGGAGTCTAACACCCGAGTCCATGACCAGGGTCACAACTGTATTTTTGTAGAATGTTGTGTTGGCAACATGTTTTGAAATTGGACACAAAAGTGAGGAAACAAACACATACCGGCGTCGAGCATCGCAAACGCTGAGCTGAAGCCCAGCACCATCAGCGTGAAGAACAGCGCCACGGCCCAGAAGTTGGCCCCCGGCATCTCGACCACGGCGGCCGGCAGGGTCAGGAACCCGATGGTGAAGCCGCCGATGGGCTCGCCCTCGACCGGCCACCGCCTGAGGAAGCCGACGACGCCGAAGACGGCGAAGGCGGCCGTGCACTCGAACACCATGTTGCTCAGGATGATGTAGAAGGAGTCAGCCACGGCGTTGGAGTGCTTGCGGTTGTAGGACGCGTAGCTCCTGTTTTCCACGTTGCTTGTGGTCAGCCTCTATGGGGATGCCAAGGGGTTGGTTGGTCGAGTTTGTTCAGGAAGGCGGGAGAATATCCTTCCCCTCCAAGAAAAGGGGCGCGCGCTCACGTGAAATACCCAAACCCTACGCCCGTTGAGAAAAAGACCTGGCCACATGCCGTCTGCCAGAGCGAGCCGCGCGCGAGCTCGGCCCCGCGCCACGTGGCAAAGTACATGCGCACGCCCTCGCCCGCGTTCTCGAGCGAGACGGACCGGCCGATCAGGATGACGGTCATGACGATGGGCAGGCCCATGGTCCAGTAGACGACGCGGCCCGTCAGCCCCACGCCCCGGAAGATGCAGATCCAGACCAGGAACCACGTAAAGGCCGTCCAGCCGACCGTCTCGCCCACCATGCCGACGGCCGGGTAACTCGTGAAGGCCTCGACGCCCGAGCCGTCGGGCGCCAGGCGGCCCGGCACCGGCGACGGGTTGGCGACCACCTTGTCGAAGAACCCTTCCGGGTCCTCGGCCCAGGGCAGCGGGCTGTGGAAGCTGTAGCGGAAGTAGGTCATGATCCAGGCCAGGTTGACGACAAAGTACGGGCCGACAATAAAACCGATGTAAAGCAGGCTAAAACCCACGCCACGCAGGCGGCTGTTGATGCTGTTAAAGGCCACAACGCTGCCGCCGCGGTAGGCCTGCCCGATGCTGATCTCGAGCGTCAGGACGGGGATGGCGATCAGGAAGATGCACATGAGGTACGGGATGAACCATTGCAGCCCGTAGTTGTTGTACACGGTCGACGGGTACCGCAGCAGGTTGCCCATGCCCGCGCACCCGCCCATCGAGGCCAGCAGGAACGACATGCGCGACGGCCACACGTCGCGCCCGTCATCCGACTGCTCTGGCGGCGGCGCCAGCCAGTGCCCGACCTTCCTGAGCGCGTTCATGACCGGCCGCTCGTGGGGGCGGCAGCAGCAGCCGCTGTCTGTGGGGGAGGCTAAGGGCGGTGGGAGCTACGCCGTATTCCCATTCGTTGACTTGATATCTGTGTGAAAACAAAAAACAAGAACCAAGAACCAACAACCAAGTACCGCAGACTCTCAATACTTTCAGCCGTCCTTGGAGTGCTGTTGCAAAACGAGGAAGAGGATGGAGAAAACCAGGACCGGCCAGACACGGCAGCTCTTTCGGTATCCATATTAGTCCAAAACAAAAATACCCGTCTCCCTGGTCAATGTCTTGTGCGACCCCCCGAGGTTGGTGGCTGCAATCAAGAAAAAAAAACACGCCCAAGGAGGATCCATTGCAAGGATCCATTGCAACAGCAACAGTAGAACAATCCCACAAAAAAACAGCGCCGCTCACTCATCTCGAGACACTGGAACATTGACCGAGCACGCAATCTTCTCCGTCCTCTCATGGGGTTTCCTGCAAGGCTACATCATTCTGTGGAGATAGCCCGGGCTGGGCGCCATACAACGGTGGGTGCCAAGGCTGAGGTGGCTGGCGGTTGCATGCATCCGTGTGGATAGCTCGGTGCCGCCAGTGTCCCCGGGTGAGTGCACTGATCCCTCGTGGGGGTTCGCATGCGGTTGGTCGGTCGTGCAGGTTGGTTGGAGTCTGAGGGGGTGGTGCTGTGCCAAGGCTGAAGGATTGTCGTCACTGCTGTGGTGCTCGAGGAACGAGCCGGGCGAGAATGGCGATTCCCCAACTTCATCAATGCTACGGACGATTAGCGGCGGTGCTGAGCATGTTCACCCGTTGGTATGAGCAGAAAACGTCTCTTCTGACGAAGATGATGTGGAAGTTGGGCTATGCGGAATCTACAAAAGGACAAAGCCAACTTGGCAAGTCATGTTTGTGATACAAGGGAAAGACTATCCACAGAACTTTACCAATAAGCAGAGGTAGAGAACCTGTGAGAGAGCTTGGGAGCACTATGCGCTTGCACGGTACCTCTAGATTCTGTTCCGCCAAACGCCAGCCACTCGAATAACCAAGCTAGGTCGCTCCAGCAGATTCTGTGTCAACGCGTATCGATGCATCTTGCGATGCAGCTGACGGTGATGGCAATATCTCTCTAGATGCTCTAGTCTCTCGATCCGATGCTCCTGGTGCCGACTCCCGACTTTGGAGGGCCGTGGTCATGAACCACTGCGAAGGAAGCAGTGAAAGGATGGAGAACTATATTTCCTGTTAGCTAGCCAGCAAGGCAGATTACGTCGACGAAGCTCAAGCCATACCTCATCGAGATGTTTGTACCAGAACTCCTCCTAAGGAGTAGCGGGGCTGTCGAGGCCGTTCTCTTGCGCCTTGGCACCCTGCTCGCCGGGGCTGGAATGTGGGACAGGCGTGTAACGCTCCTTGATGGCGCGGGTGGAGAACTGCTCCATGAGCTTGTTCCAGGCGGAGACGTCATCAGCAACGGTGCCCATGGCCAAGACTTTCTTCTTCTTGCTATTTGTCGGCGAATCGGTGGGAGCTGGCGCCACGACGGGCGGGAGGTCGCCAGCGGCGAAGACCTCGCGGAGCATGCGATCCTGCACGGTTCCCGGCGACCTGGCGAGCCCTCCGAGGGCGAGGAACACCATGAAGCGGTCGCCGGGGTCGCATCCCAACAGGGAGAGCTGGCGCCGCAGGTCTTGGACGCGGTTCTGATACGCCGCAAGGCTCTGGAAGCTCGCCCGCTGGATGGTGCACAGCTCGCGGACCAGGACCGTGGTCACGCGGTTGCTGTCGGCCATGACGCGCATGGCGTCGAGAGCGGACTTGTAGATTTTGTGAGGGCTGCGGCGGTCGCGGCGCGTGCTGCTGCCGACTTGCAAAAACTGAGAGACGGACGCCAGGGACTTGGACAGCAGCTTCTTGGCCTTTCTCCTGCCGCGTTTCCAGGCATCGCGCGCCTTCTGGCCCTCGGGCTTTCTGGGCTTCGATGGCTTCGCCGGCTCGTGGGTGACAAAGGGCTGGAGATGGCCGAGGTTGGCGAGGAGCGACTGATTCCAAGAATCGATATTGGACGGTCCCACAAGCTCAACGATGCCGCCGGATGGCGCGCCTGAGGGGGATTCCGTATTGCCGTTGGCTGGCGGGGGGTGGCCTTGATCGGAATGGGTGCACTCTTGGCTCTCGGGCGTGTCATGGTTTGATGTGGGCGTTTGATGCGGAACGGGGAACGTGAGTTTTGTGCGAGGGTTGTGGAGACAACTGTAAGGAAGATGGAAGAGAAGGTCGAGTATGTGAGAACTGTGATATGTTGTTGTTGTGGTGGTGGGTGGGTGGGAGTTTGATGGTAGGTAGACTGAAGCACGCGAGGAGGCTGTAAGGCAGCCTTGGCCCGGATTTGTCGGGAAGGAACGTACGGCACTTTGCAAAATGGAAGGTGCAGCCTAGCTTCTGACAAAGACAAGTGTTTTTTCCAAGTGACCATAAAATAAATCATCATCATTCAAACACATTTGGCAACGGCACAAAGTCTGCCAGCCATGTATATCTCTATATCTGCACTAGTCTTAGCACGTCCTACCCGCCTCACCAGCCCACCCACCACGTGTAGTTGCCGGTCTGCTCGGGCGAGTCCCAGGCCAGGGCGACGCTGGTGTCCCTCGGCCGCTCGGGCCAGGCCTCCGCCAGGCCCTTCCAGACCTTGACGTCGGTCCAGGACGCGCCGGCCTTGCACTTCGCGCCGTGGGTGCCGTTGCCCAGCCGCAGCGCGCCCGCGAAGAAGCTCAGCCCCGTGCTGTCGGCGCGGCCCGGGTACACGCGGCTCGTGAGGGCGAAGCGGTCGTTGACGAAGACCTCGAGCAGCGACCGGTCGAACACCACGGTGAACTTCACGTCCTCGACCGCACCCGCAGTGTTTCGGTATGGCTCAAAGTGGCCCTCGTGGTCGTAGGTCTGGAAGACGCCCGGCAGCGAGGCGCTGCTGTTGCCGCGCCCGACGGTGATGGTCGACCGCGCCGGGTCAAAGGTGATGGTGGTAAACTCGCTGTCGTCAGGGCTTTGCGCAATCACCATGCCCGCCTTGGCGTCGCCGCCAAGGGTCGCCGACAGCACCCACGAGTCGCCCAGGTCGGCCGCCACCCTGCGGGCCGGCGCGCCCGCGGCGACGACCCCGACGTCGAACGCCTCCTCCTTGGCGCCCGCGCGCAGCTTCTCCAGCACGTCGGGCAGCGGGCGGATGCCGAGCGTCTGCGCCGTGAAGGCGCCGCCGTCCTCGGCGACCCACTCGTTGCCGTCCAGCGCGACCGCGACCGCGCCCTGGGGCCGCGCCAGCCCGCGCGTCTCCTTGAGGAACAGCTCCGTGGGCAGCGTGATGGCGCCCGCGTAGCCCAGGGCCTTGGCGATGTAAAAGCCCCACGCGAAGTCGAAGTCCTCGTTGGCCCACCCCCACATGACGCGGCGGTTGCCGTTGCCCTGGCGGGCGTCGACAAACGACGCCTGCGCGTACGCCAGCCCCCAGTCGAGGGCGCCGCCCGACGTGGGCGTCAGCTCGGCCGAGCCGTTGGCGCGCGCCGCGAGGCTGCCGCGGGTCCAGAGCGCCCACTGCTCGCGCACGTGGCGCGTCGTCTGCCCGCCCTCGGAGCCCATGGTGACGAACCAGGAGGGCTTGCCGCCGCTGCTGCCCGCGGGCAGATCGAAAAAGCCGCTGACCTCAAAGTTGTAGCCGTACGAGCCCGTGATGTCGGGCGCGCCCAGGCTCGAGTTTGCCGCGGGCTCCCACAGCGCGCCCAGGAAGGTCCAGTCGGTCAGGTTGGAGGCCGGGGCCGAGTACAGCGGTATGCGGGGGCCGATGAAGCCCGGGCGGGCCGACTCGGGCAGCTCGCGCGGCACGTCGCCCGACTTGAGCCCGGAGCCCATCACCATGTAGTAGTGGGGCTCGGACCGCCCCAACACCGCGTCGAGGTCGGCGTTGGGGAAGAAGGACGGGTCGCGCCAGCCCGTGACGTTCCACCCCTCGGGCGGCGAGGCCAGCACGGTGCCGACCTCGGCCCACGTGGCGCCGCCGTCGCGCGACGTGTACATGGCCTGGACCTCGGTGCCCTTGGTGTAGGGTATCTTCCAGCTGGTGGGGAGATGGTGGATGCCCGTCGCGAAGGCGAGCAGGGTGCCGTCGCGCTCGCCCCTTATGTTTACGGGCTGCGCCGTGCCCGTGAACTGCGACAGCTCGCTCGACGGGTGGCCGCCCGCGGCGAGCGAGACGGCCGCGTCGTCGACCCAACCACCCACGTCGGTCCAGTGGAACATGTCCCTGGAGACGGCGTGGCCCCACGAGACGTTGCCCCAGCCGACGTGGTTGGGGTGGAACTGGTAGTGCAGGTGGTACAGGTCCGTGGCCGGTTCGTAGACGGCGCCGCAGGGGTCGTTCATCCAGCTGTGCGGCGACGCAAAGTGTGAGCGCGGCCGCCACCGGTCAAAGAGGCTGCTGTTGCCCGCGCTGGTGCGGATCCACTCGGGCGTGAGGGGCTGCGGCACCGGCTGCTGCTGCTGCGCCGCCACCAAGGGCGCGGCCGCGAGCTGGAGCAGCGCCGCGAGGACCGTGGGTGCCTTCATCTCGTCCTTGTCGTCGTCGTGTGCGTGTGTGCCGTGGGGAAAAGAGGGGAATGTTCCGTGTAGGTTGAACAGGCACGAAATTATCCTACTTCTACAGGGGGGAGAGGGATGACGGCGGCGGATGGAGTGATGAAGGGTGGTGCGTCCATGAAGCAGAGGCTCATCATCGGCCCAGGTCACAGCAACCATGGGCGGGCTTATATGTATGTAATGACCACGAGCCGGCCCGCCATGTCGTAATTTCCCAAGAGACCAGGCCTCGAGTCAGTGCTAAAAAGCTGTTTGTTTGGTTCGGCTCTAAGCAACCCCAAGAATCGAACAACAAGCTCACCGACACAGCCATTTTTTTCTTCCCTTCCCCCTCTGCTTTCTGCGGGGAACTTGCGGGGAACTTGCGGGGATGGGCTCCTTGGCCGGCGTAATGCTGGGGCAACTGGGTTAATAAGGCCGGGGGTGGTGCCCACGATAGCCCGCCCTCCCCCCTTCTCGGCCCCTTTTTTTTTTCATGACGTCGTACGCGCGCGCCGTAGAAACAAAAATTAGCCTGGTGTATATCAGTGGAAACTTAATTCCCTCGTCGTCGTCCCGTAACGGCTAACCGAGCTCCTTGACAACTGTTTGAATCGGACAATAACATGATTAGTGCGGCTCGGCTGACTGCCGAGTTGTTGGTGCGTCGTGCTGCCCAGTGCCCCAAGCGTCTTCTGGATGCTTGACTAGCTCCTACAGCTTAAACGCTTAAACATATACCCACGGGATATTGTGTTGCGCCGGCACTGTTCCCACTCCCCCCAGCCTGCTGGCCGAAGGTTCCGGGTGCGTGCCGCCGGAGAACCGCCGCGATAGCCCTTGCGATGCAACTGGGAGGCCCAAGTCCAAGTTGACAGAAGCCAATTGGGAAATATCACCGTCACGGGTGGCACGACAAAGTGAGGACAAGGCGCACCACCCCTTGAGAATAACCGGTGAGAGGCAAAGGCTAAACCCATGCGACAACCTCAACAGTAATGGAAACATTCGAGCAGGCCAGGCCCCAGCGGCTGAACCTTGACGCAAAAAAAAAAAAAAAAAAAAAGGCTGTATCAGACAAGACTTTATGTATAAACCATTCCAGGCAGCCTTCCTCTCCGTAAAGCCCTCCCAGGATGACACCATACAGCTGAGAATAGGAGGAAGGAGAAAGCCTAGCAATACCCACATCCCTTAGTCTAAACAAGCCGTCTAACCCCCGGGGAGCCGTCCCACGCATGCCCCTATAATCCAACAGTCCATACACAGATCCCCTCATCACCATAGGCATAAGAAAAGTAAGATAGAAAAAAACTCAACAACGAGATGGTATCCATCATTAGGTATGCCCGGCAATCTGCTTCATGAGAGAGCGAGGCGGAAAGTAAAAAAATAAAATAAAAATATAAAAAAAAGGACAATAACAGCAGACCAGCATGTACGTGTACGTGTGCCCGCGCCCGCGTCTCTAACGTAGATAGATGGCACCCCACACCCTAGCTCTCTCTCCACTACTAGCTCACTAGCGTCCCAACCCCAGACGCTCTCCCCAGGGCCATTCCAGACCCGGGGGACGGCCGGAGAAAGAAGCCCCGATGGCTGCTTGCAAGAGCCAGCTGCTACCCAGGGGTTCTATATCCAAGCCGAAAGAGCAAACCATTCAGTCCCGAGAAGAGAGGCAATCGCCTTATTCTGTGGGCCCGGTGGGGCGAGACCGCTGACCGACAACCTCCCGAGCGTAGAACTCGACCAGCATGGTGGCATAGGCTTCGAGGTCCTCGACGGGGATGGCCAGGCGGAAATCGTTGAGCAGAAGGAACTGAAGCTCAAGGTGGTTCAACTCGGCAAGAGGAAGACCGCCGACCTAAGGGAGTAAGGAGTATGTGAGCCTGGTTCAAAGGACAGGGAGTAACAACGAAGCAACATCCGGGAGGACAAGTGGGCAGCTCCCAGTTACGACGAACCTTGGCATATCTCGAATTGGTGTAGAAGACATCCGAGAAGAACTTGCTCGAGCAAGTGACGCCGGCAATGATGAGCCGGTGAATGTTGTAGCTGTCCACCACAAAGTAGGTGGCCGTGCTGCTAGCCAACGACCCCATCGCTGCGGTCGCGTGATCCTCCTTCGAGGCAGCTGATTTCTCGCTCCCTCGAGCCCGCTTCCTCTCCCCTTGCGCACTGTCGTTGCCGCCGTTCCCATCGTCGCTGCTGTCCGCCAGATCCTCGTCCGTCTCGTCGTCGTCGTTCCCTCCTGCGCCGCCGCCGCCGCCGCCGTCTGCTTCGTCGTCGTCGCTGCCCATCAACACGTCCTCGCCGTCGTGCTGCTGCCTTTTGCTTTGTTGGTCACGCTGGGATCGACCCTGCTTCTCCTCCTCGCTCTTGGCCACCAGCTCGTTCACCCGCTCCGTCATGCGATCAAAATAGGCCAAAAGACTGAGGAAGACCTCAAACGTAGTGGGGCAGTACTTGTGGATGCGGCTCAGGTAGCTCAGGATGGTGATGGCCGGCACGTTCTTTCCATGGAAAGCCAAGACGCTGTTGGCGTATGGGCTCCCCGCGCCGCCACCAGCGGCCCCGCCCACACCACAGCTGCCACTACTGCTGCTCCCCTCCCCGCTGCCGGACTCGCTCTGCTGCTGGGCCTGCTGGGCCTGCTGGGCCTGGCGCTGGTGTGCTGCGTTGCGGTTCAACGCGTCGTGCTGCAGGTCGTTGGTGGTGGTGATCTTGGTGAGCAGCGCGGCCACCATCTCGATTATGTCGCCAATGGGCATCTCGCTAATGTCGTACTTCATCTGGGATAGTGGCGGGTCGTTTAGGAGACCCGGCCCGTTGCCCGTCACCAGGTCGGCGCGGGCGAGCGACTGGATGTGGGCCAGGTCGTGGACGCGGATCGTCGTCTGCTGAGTCGGCGCGTCGGCGTGGTCGAGCCTCGACACGGGCGAGTCCGGCGCGGCCCATTGTGGGAAGCTGTCGCTCGCGGGGGAGGGGATCGAGTTGGCGGCCGAGGAGTGTTCGGGGGCTGAGGTGGGCGATTTGCCGTGCACGACGGTTGACGCCGATGATGCTACAGCGGTGGAGGCGGATGAAGAGGGCGTGGCGACACCGGTGTGATGGTGCGAGGTGTCCATGTGCATCGATGAAGCGACAGCAACAGCATCCTGGGGTCCCGCGGCGGCCGAGTTGGAAACGCTCGGCGACGACGAGTCTGGCGGGGTGGGGAAGCGCGAGGCGCCGTGCTGATCGTGTGCGTGCTTTGTGTCTGCCCAGGCAGCGGCAGGCCTGGGCTGGTCCGTGGTCGGGGTAGCGCGTTGGAGGTGTGAGGGGCCGTGATGGCGCGATGACGTTGGTGCGGGTGGGTCGGAGGATGACGGGGACTGGTGGTGGCGGTATGACGAGGAAGGTGCGTCGCGGGGGCGGCTGGAGGAGCGCATCGATTGTGGGTGGTGCGATTGCTGTTGCGGGTGTTGGGGCTGGAACACCATGTTATGGCGGAACCGCGAGGGGTCCGACGCAAAATCCCCGATTACAGTGGCCATGATCCACGAGTTTGGGTGAGGGAGCGGTCAGGCGGGATGGATGAGTGGGTGATGCGGTTGTGGTTGCGGTTGCGGTTGCGGTTGCGGTCGCGGGCGCTGGGCAGGCTGGGCACGACGCGGAGAGGATTCTATCGAGACGGCGGGGATGGCGAGAATGGGCCGAAGGAGCTGAGACGGGTGAGAGGATGGGTCAGCGGTGCAGGCCACGGCAAAAATCAAATGATAACGGGCCGGCACTGGCTCAGGGTGACAGTCCAGAACGCCTAATGGGGTGGTTTTGGGCGTTGCAATCTATCCCGTGCCTTATCGGACGGGCGAGAGCGCATCACGATAAAACCCCGGAGCGGGCAGGAAAAATGCGCGAGGGGGAGCAGCGAGGTGGTTGCGGCGGCCAAGTGGGACACTTGGCTGAGCCAGGCGTGGGGTGGGCGAGGGAGGGGAAGGGAACCACCCACAGCAAGAGCCAAGTGGCGGCTGGTCGCTGATGATACTCGGCACGGTTCAGGATCAACGAACAAGCAACGATCTGAAAAAGAAAAAGAAAAAAATAGAAATTGACGCGAAAAATGAGGCTGACGCAAGCACCGAAATGTGAACCGCAGGGGCCGACCGATCAATAAACACACGTGCGAACGGCAGCAACAGTGACGCAGAGGATGGGGAAAAAAGGAGGGAAAAAACAAAAGAGGAGGAGGAACAGTAAGCCAAGAGCTGGAAGCAGATAGCTCAGGTATGTACGGCGCAGATCGACGCCTGCCGGGCCATCGAAGGGCTGCAAGGACTTCATGCATTCGCCAGGGGGCGAGGGAGAAAAAAACAATCGAGGCGGGGGGCGAAGTGACATGGGAGGGCCCGGCAGCCGTGCCCAAAACGCCCGCGGATGGCTTGGAGGGTAGCGGGGTGGGGAGGGGGGGGCTGAGATGGGAGGAGAGAGGCGCGCGTAGAGTAAAAGGTGCATCATGCTCCCTTGGGTCAAAGTGTCTGCAGCACCGGCTCCGGCCATGTCATGTCACTCAACGCCAGCCAGCTGGGCCTGACGCCCGCTGCCACCGGCTCTGACCAGATGATGCGTGCACCACTGCGTGAGGCGCCGCACAGGGCAGACCTTGACCCGCTTGCAGTAGCAGGGAACCAGGCGCCAACGAAGCGGAGCGGAGCAGCTCCAGGCAAGCGGACGGCATGAAGACGGAGGCGGCCTCATCAAGTGGCAGACGGGCCCGCTGAGGCTCCTCCCCATGCAAAGAATGGGCTTTTTCTTTGTTGTTTTGCTGATCCGGACGCAATGCCTGTCTTGCTCTTGCTCGGCCGCAGCCTTCTACCCCATCCAGATCTTGTCACCGGCCCGGCCTCTCCAAACGAGCTCCGAGTGACTTGGCTGGGCTCGGGTGCAGTGGAGGACGAGGAGGTGCAAGACGGAAGGTCGCGTCCGTTGACCCGGCGGGGGTGCAGCCTGTGATGCAGTCGAGCGACCGTCTTCATCCCGGTGGGTGCCTCCCTCGTCCGAGCACTGCTTCCCGCACGCGGGCCCAACTCCACGGCGGCATGCCTGGCGACGTCGCAGCGGCGCTTTGACTTTCGCGCCATGCAGTGGCGAAGCGCCGGCGCAAAAGAATAATGATGAAAAAAAATAAAGGTGGTGGGCGCACAGGGCCAGAGCTGCACTTGCTACTGGCAGTTCTTCCATGCAGCAAACAGCATGCGCACGCATGGGCATGTGTGAGGCAGGTGCAGGCGACACATGTTATCGGAGCAAGATGACACAAACGAAAAGGGGCTGAGAGAACACAGGCAAGTCGACATACCGGAGGAGGCGCAGCGTCTTGGTGTGTTCCTTGTTCGGTGTTACACGATGGCGCATATTACCGCTGACGTGCCTGGAGTTTCCTACTGCCGAGCTCGTTGATCGGGCTGCTGGTAGGCGACACTATTCATCCATCCGAATTGTCTTGTCTTGGGTAATGGGGTTTTCGTCGAGTCGCAGGGTCTGTGCGAATGTCGGGCCGCGACCAGTCTGGCTGGCAACGTGGTCTGATTCGTCGCGTGGCTCAAAGGAACTATTCGGGCATGCGCTGGGAATCAAATTTCAAAACGATCAAGAATATGAACAAGATATACGACCTGTCTAAAGGAATGCGACCAGGGGAAGGCGGACAAGAAAAGAGAAAAGGCCTGGAAGATAGGATATTCTTGGCGGTTGCGCGCGGTGGTGACAGTGCGTCTGTATAGCCAAGGTACCCCTGGGTACCTTCTCGGTAGATTTGGACTATCTGGCCAGACCTGGCATGAAATGTGGATAGGGGCAAATCGACGGCGATAAAAACCGGCCACAGTCCGCAGTGGTGGCAAGTTGGTAGCCCGGGAAAGTGGAAGAGTGGAAGAGAAGGAGAAGGAGGGATAAAGAAGACGGGATAAAACAATACAAAAGAGGGAGTGATTATGACACAAGACTTAAAACACCCGCCGCCAGTGACGCCTTTCTGGAAGAGATAACGAACCGCAAATGCGCACATAGGTTTGCAATGCTTTGTCCCATCCGATCCCATGCGACACGGGCAACCATCAACAATTACCTGCTTACGCCGACCTGCCTACCCGTCCGTTCTTGCTCCCCCATGCCTGCAGAAGAAGGCGGTCTGGAGCAGGGACGGATAGGGTACATACATTGGGTATCTATCCTGCTGCTGCCAATCGCAGACCTCGCTCCTCGTGCTTACCTGTCAGTTATAGTCTCTCCACCTTCCTTCTCGCCCAGCCGCCAGCAATAACGACCACCTGCGTTATTGGGACCAGGTGTGATATTACACTTGCCAACGACTCATGCCACAGGCGAACGAACAGGTGTCTACGTCAAGAGTCGGACAGCGGATGGTAGGTGGCACAAAGGGACAGACAGGCAGGCTGAGCGCCTACCAAAATGTTTGGGGCTGTTTGTTCTTCCTTTCCCCGTTTTTTATCTGGGGGCCGGCAGCGGACCCTCGCAGGGAAACCAAGGCGGCGCCGTGGTGCGAGCGATGCTGCTTGCAGCCTAACCATCGGACTGCATGGCGGAAAGAAAGAAAGAAAGAAAGAAGAAAGGAAACGAACTCGCCGTCGGCTACTCGAGGCTGCAAGCAAGATGATCTGCGAGAGGCTGAAAGAGGACGTGGGAAGCACAAGCGAATTACCTGGGTAGGACTCCAACTCGTCAAGCCCGCGCGCTGCTTTACAGCTAGTCTAGCCCCTGGCCTTCCCCAATGGCCAAACCCGCCCCATCATCTCGGCACCTGCGAGCACGCAGCGAGAACGGCACGTGTGTCCCTGACACAATCCGCCGGCACCGCCTGAAAATAAAAATGCTTGTCGGGAGCTCGAGCCACCAGCTCGAGCCACCAAACAGGTAGGCACAGGGCCAGGATCGTCGACCAGATCTATGCGTGGTAGCCCACTTAGACAGGGGCAATAGCCTTCTTTTGACTAAGACGGCCCCAACTCAATACGACCGAACCATCAATTTGTCTGGCTGCGCCGCCGAGGCAGCCAGGCCTTGCCTCGGCGGGGTCCCTTTTCTTTCGCATCTGGGAATCAAGCATGGCGACAGGTAGGCGGGCTTTTTGGTGCAGATCTGCGCCGTCGCCGGCCAGACCGCTTGGGTCCATCCACCTGCTCCACTCTTCAAGCCTCGCCGCAGCAGCAGCCACACAACCAGTTCTTATTTTCTCCTCTGCTATTTGTATTTCCCCTTGGCCTCCAGCTGAGGCCGCCACATCATACCATGGCCACCAATACTTGTAGCCTCCAGCCAGAATCCCACACCGCACAATCTCGGCGTGGCGCGGGGGAGATGCGGTGCGAGGTGAGATGCCCCTCCAACGCCCATGTCCGGGCTAGATGCGATCTTGTCGACCTACTAAGAGGTGGGTAAAAGGAACCGCCACACTAAGCAGGCAAGCATGCGTCACAGGGGGTGTTTAAGATAAAATCAGGTGCCGCTCCGCTAATTTGACGCCTGCACGGCCCTCCGGGGGCAACCGTCAAATTGCCCTAATTTTAATTTTAGTTATTTAAGGCAAAAGAATAGAGTAACATTGCTTTTTTTTTAAATGTTTTAACTCGTACTTCGAATAACACAAAAAAGCAATGAAGGCGTCAGCGAAGCCTGAAAGCGTAACTGTTCTTTTTATTTTTTATTAATTTTTATTGCTTAATTAGTAATTTTTATTTTTACTAATTTTTATTGCTTAACCGGTAATTTTCATTTTTATTAATTTTTACTGCTTAACCGGTGATTTTCATTTTTACTGATTTTACTGCTTAACCGGTGATTTCCAGGGGGAAACCCCCTGGGACCCCCCTTTTGCCTCCGGCGGCCCTCCGGGGGCTCCTGCGGAGCGCTTTTCTCCTG